CATTCGTCTTGGTTTAGACTCATCAGGTAGAGATAGCTGAGCTAGGAGTGGAACCCGAGACATAGTGCTTGGCGGCTATCGCCATGATCACTAGGCCATTGAGTTCCGCGAGCAGTGTTTGACACAGCGGTTAGAAGTAGATTTTCGGGTTTTTTGGAGCACCCGCCGTGTGTCTTGGATTGCGACACGCAATCTCATTAATGGCGGCGGTTGACTTGGAAGTCAGCCTCTGCCAAAGCGGTCACTGGGACCGTCACCGAAGTGGAGGGTTTCGGTGTGGCTCTCTCCTATCCCTGCACACCACGACCGACGGTTTCGTCTTGGTTTAGACTCATCAGGTAGAGATAGCTGAGCTAGGAGTGGAACCCGAGGCATAGTGCTTGGCGGCTATCGCCATGATCACTAGGCCATTGAGTTCCGCGAGCAGTGTTTGACACAGCGGTTAGAAGTAGATTTCGGGTTTTTTTTGGAGCACCCGCCGTGTGTCTTGGATTGCGACACGCAATCTCATTAATGGCGGCGGTTGACTTGAAAGTCAGCCTCTGCCAAAGCGGTCACTGGGACCGTCACCGAAGTGGAGGGTTTCGGTGTGGCTCTCTCCTATCCCTGCACTCCACGACCGACGGTTTCGTCTTGGTTTAGACTCATCAGGTAGAGATAGCTGAGCTAGGAGTGGAACCCGAGGCATAGTGCTTGGCGGCTATCGCCATGATCACTAGGCCATTGAGTTCCGCGAGCAGTGTTTGACACAGCGGTTAGAAGTAGATTTTCGGGTTTTTTTGGAGCACCCGCCGTGTGTCTTGGATTGCGACACGCAATCTCATTAATGGCGGCGGTTGACTTGAAAGTCAGCCTCTGCCAAAGCGGTCACTGGGACCGTCACCGAAGTGGAGGGTTTCGGTGTGGCTCTCTCCTATCCCTGCACTCCACGACCGACGGTTTCGTCTTGGTTTAGACTCATCAGGTAGAGATAGCTGAGCTAGGAGTGGAACCCGAGACATAGTGCTTGGCGGCTATCGCCATGATCACTAGGCCATTGAGTTCCGCGAGCAGTGTTTGACACAGCGGTTAGAAGTAGATTTTCGGGTTTTTTGGAGCACCCGCCGTGTGTCTTGGATTGCGACACGCAATCTCATTAATGGCGGCGGTTGACTTGAAAGTCAGCCTCTGCCAAAGCGGTCACTGGGACCGTCACCGAAGTGGAGGGTTTCGGTGTGGCTCTCTCCTATCCCTGCACTCCACGACCGACGGTTTCGTCTTGGTTTAGACTCATCAGGTAGAGATAGCTGAGCTAGGAGTGGAACCCGAGACATAGTGCTTGGCGGCTATCGCCATGATCACTAGGCCATTGAGTTCCGCGAGCAGTGTTTGACACAGCGGTTAGAAGTAGATTTTCGGGTTTTTTTGGAGCACCCGCCGTGTGTCTTGGATTGCGACACGCAATCTCATTAATGGCGGCGGTTGACTTGGAAGTCAGCCTCTGCCAAAGCGGTCACTGGGACCGTCACCGAAGTGGAGGGTTTCGGTGTGGCTCTCTCCTATCCCTGCACTCCACGACCGACGGTTTCGTCTTGGTTTAGACTCATCAGGTAGAGATAGCTGAGCTAGGAGTGGAACCCGAGACATAGTGCTTGGCGGCTATCGCCATGATCACTAGGCCATTGAGTTCCGCGAGCAGTGTTTGACACAGCGGTTAGAAGTAGATTTTCGGGTTTTTTGGAGCACCCGCCGTGTGTCTTGGATTGCGACACGCAATCTCATTAATGGCGGCGGTTGACTTGAAAGTCAGCCTCTGCCAAAGCGGTCACTGGGACCGTCACCGAAGTGGAGGGTTTCGGTGTGGCTCTCTCCTATCCCTGCACTCCACGACCGACGGTTTCGTCTTGGTTTAGACTCATCAGGTAGAGATAGCTGAGCTAGGAGTGGAACCCGAGACATAGTGCTTGGCGGCTATCGCCATGATCACTAGGCCATTGAGTTCCGCGAGCAGTGTTTGACACAGCGGTTAGAAGTAGATTTTCGGGTTTTTTGGAGCACCCGCCGTGTGTCTTGGATTGCGACACGCAATCTCATTAATGGCGGCGGTTGACTTGAAAGTCAGCCTCTGCCAAAGCGGTCACTGGGACCGTCACCGAAGTGGAGGGTTTCGGTGTGGCTCTCTCCTATCCCTGCACTCCACGACCGACGGTTTCGTCTTGGTTTAGACTCATCAGGTAGAGATAGCTGAGCTAGGAGTGGAACCCGAGACATAGTGCTTGGCGGCTATCGCCATGATCACTAGGCCATTGAGTTCCGCGAGCAGTGTTTGACACAGCGGTTAGAAGTAGATTTTCGGGTTTTTTGGAGCACCCGCCGTGTGTCTTGGATTGCGACACGCAATCTCATTAATGGCGGCGGTTGACTTGAAAGTCAGCCTCTGCCAAAGCGGTCACTGGGACCGTCACCGAAGTGGAGGGTTTCGGTGTGGCTCTCTCCTATCCCTGCACTCCACGACCGACGGTTTCGTCTTGGTTTAGACTCATCAGGTAGAGATAGCTGAGCTAGGAGTGGAACCCGAGGCATAGTGCTTGGCGGCTATCGCCATGATCACTAGGCCATTGAGTTCCGCGAGCAGTGTTTGACACAGCGGTTAGAAGTAGATTTTCGGGTTTTTTTGGAGCACCCGCCGTGTGTCTTGGATAGCTCAGCTATCTCTACCTGATGAGTCTAAACCAAGACGAAACCGTCGGTCGTGGAGTGCAGGGATAGGAGAGAGCCACACCGAAACCCTCCACTTCGGTGACGGTCCCAGTGACCGCTTTGGCAGAGGCTGACTTTCAAGTCAACCGCCGCCATTAATGAGATTGCGTGTCGCAATCCAAGACACACGGCGGGTGCTCCAAAAAACCCGAAAATCTACTTCTAACCGCTGTGTCAAACACTGCTCGCGGAACTCAATGGCCTAGTGATCATGGCGATAGCCGCCAAGCACTATGTCTCGGGTTCCACTCCTAGCTCAGCTATCTCTACCTGATGAGTCTAAACCAAGACGAAACCGTCGGTCGTGGAGTGCAGGGATAGGAGAGAGCCACACCGAAACCCTCCACTTCGGTGACGGTCCCAGTGACCGCTTTGGCAGAGGCTGACTTCCAAGTCAACCGCCGCCATTAATGAGATTGCGTGTCGCAATCCAAGACACACGGCGGGTGCTCCAAAAAAACCCGAAAATCTACTTCTAACCGCTGTGTCAAACACTGCTCGCGGAACTCAATGGCCTAGTGATCATGGCGATAGCCGCCAAGCACTATGCCTCGGGTTCCACTCCTAGCTCAGCTATCTCTACCTGATGAGTCTAAACCAAGACGAAACCGTCGGTCGTGGAGTGCAGGGATAGGAGAGAGCCACACCGAAACCCTCCACTTCGGTGACGGTCCCAGTGACCGCTTTGGCAGAGGCTGACTTTCAAGTCAACCGCCGCCATTAATGAGATTGCGTGTCGCAATCCAAGACACACGGCGGGTGCTCCAAAAAAACCCGAAAATCTACTTCTAACCGCTGTGTCAAACACTGCTCGCGGAACTCAATGGCCTAGTGATCATGGCGATAGCCGCCAAGCACTATGCCTCGGGTTCCACTCCTAGCTCAGCTATCTCTACCTGATGAGTCTAAACCAAGACGAAACCGTCGGTCGTGGAGTGCAGGGATAGGAGAGAGCCACACCGAAACCCTCCACTTCGGTGACGGTCCCAGTGACCGCTTTGGCAGAGGCTGACTTTCAAGTCAACCGCCGCCATTAATGAGATTGCGTGTCGCAATCCAAGACACACGGCGGGTGCTCCAAAAAACCCGAAAATCTACTTCTAACCGCTGTGTCAAACACTGCTCGCGGAACTCAATGGCCTAGTGATCATGGCGATAGCCGCCAAGCACTATGTCTCGGGTTCCACTCCTAGCTCAGCTATCTCTACCTGATGAGTCTAAACCAAGACGAAACCGTCGGTCGTGGAGTGCAGGGATAGGAGAGAGCCACACCGAAACCCTCCACTTCGGTGACGGTCCCAGTGACCGCTTTGGCAGAGGCTGACTTTCAAGTCAACCGCCGCCATTAATGAGATTGCGTGTCGCAATCCAAGACACACGGCAGGTGCTCCAAAAAACCCGAAAATCTACTTCTAACCGCTGTGTCAAACACTGCTCGCGGAACTCAATGGCCTAGTGATCATGGCGATAGCCGCCAAGCACTATGTCTCGGGTTCCACTCCTAGCTCAGCTATCTCTACCTGATGAGTCTAAACCAAGACGAAACCGTCGGTCGTGGAGTGCAGGGATAGGAGAGAGCCACACCGAAACCCTCCACTTCGGTGACGGTCCCAGTGACCGCTTTGGCAGAGGCTGACTTTCAAGTCAACCGCCGCCATTAATGAGATTGCGTGTCGCAATCCAAGACACACGGCGGGTGCTCCAAAAAACCCGAAAATCTACTTCTAACCGCTGTGTCAAACACTGCTCGCGGAACTCAATGGCCTAGTGATCATGGCGATAGCCGCCAAGCACTATGTCTCGGGTTCCACTCCTAGCTCAGCTATCTCTACCTGATGAGTCTAAACCAAGACGAAACCGTCGGTCGTGGAGTGCAGGGATAGGAGAGAGCCACACTGAAACCCTCCACTTCGGTGACGGTCCCAGTGACCGCTTTGGCAGAGGCTGACTTTCAAGTCAACCGCCGCCATTAATGAGATTGCGTGTCGCAATCCAAGACACACGGCGGGTGCTCCAAAAAAACCCGAAAATCTACTTCTAACCGCTGTGTCAAACACTGCTCGCGGAACTCAATGGCCTAGTGATCATGGCGATAGCCGCCAAGCACTATGTCTCGGGTTCCACTCCTAGCTCAGCTATCTCTACCTGATGAGTCTAAACCAAGACGAAACCGTCGGTCGTGGAGTGCAGGGATAGGAGAGAGCCACACCGAAACCTTCCTTGTGTTCCCTTTGCTATGCTGTAAAACATTATATTCCTTCTTCAGCATAAAGACATTCCTTGCAATGTATCTCCAGCTTACAGTATTGCGACCAAATGTTAATTATACTTACTCCCGGTAATATTAATTTCTTATAATCTTCCAATATCAATGCGATGTCCTCTCTATCTTCCGGTGCTTCCCGGGGCAGTGCATCATCAAGAAATCCAGGGGTAATTGTACGAAAATCAGGTAAAACAGGGAATTCCTTTCGTAATAAACCGTTCCAGTAAGACCTGATAAGCTCAAGTACTTGGACCCCGTCTTTCTCCAGTTGCTGTGGATCCATTTTATCTAAATTAACAAGTAAACGGGTCTAGTTCTTGCAAAATATTATAATATATTTTTCAGCGATTAAAGTTAGAAACACATTAAATATAGAAACAAATGTAAAGCGCTGTTTGGAATATATGATATACGCTTACCACCTGCGTTTGTTTGATTCCACTGAGTCGTTTTTCCTACTGGGGTCTCACCTTTCTGCAATATTTTTAATCATGCTTTAATATTTGGAGGAGGGAGGCTATGAATACTCGGCAAATTACCTTGCAAACCGGAGGGAGTAAAATTAGGAACAAGGTTTAGTTGGAAGATCAGATGCAGCAATGCTGAGCTAATGTCAACTGCCTAGGTCAGGTGGCCAGCTGCGACCAACAACCAGCCTGTGCCCAGTACAGTCGGGAAGGTACTCATCGAAACCGCTATAAACTATACATTTGCGCTCTTAATAGAGCCTCCACAACTGACTAGAGGCAGCGAATAGGCAACGCACGTGCTTTAGAGCAAATCCATACCAAGTAGAACGGCACTTAGAGAAGCAGAGCTGCGAGGCGAAACACGCAAGGATTATTCAAATCTGCCAGCCGCATAAATACGTTAATGTGTAGCTAATCAACTCCAACGCTGTGATGCGTCGTTGGAAGGACACGTAACTCATACATATACACCTGCATGCGTGGTTTGGTAAATTGAAATGAAGTCAATAATAATTGCATGATTGTCAAATCCTTATACTGGCATAAGCGCCGCGAACATAACATAATTTATTAGCTTCAATAACTTACTGAAACTTGGCTCTTCCGGGAAGTTATTGACAAATTAAAGTGTGTTTAACAGTCCTAACTATAATAATTTTGCAAATAGTACCCTTAACACCGTTTCACACACGTTAAATATTTCCACTCCGTGAGTGAGATGTGTCCAGCAAGACACTTGTGTGCATTGAGAGATTTCGAAGTCAAAAAATAATGAACCTTTTCGCATTTAGAAACATTCAAGTGGCATTATGTTTTATGTCCTTATATGAAGGTAACACTTATTCTGTGATATTACAATTCTTCGTATGACCTAAGCGCACAACCACTGAATCTCCAATAAAGTGGCTGAAATCTACATCCTCTTCTGAATGCAGACATGTGGTACAGATTATGTGGACAGTAATCTTGACCCAAACCAGTAACGATTCTCTTTTGGATTGACCTAAACTTTCTGCTGCAACGGTCATTGAATCCAAGCGCTTCGCTACAGTACAGCGAGATGTAGGTAGTATAACAATCTCAAGCAGTATCATCAATTGTGTTAACGATGGGAAAGTTCAGGATGACGACATAATACTTCGAAAGGAACCTGTCCGTATATTTAAGCTGTAATTTGCAGTTACATTATTGTCGTGCGCAGGTTAATGGGGACCGAATCCAGGCATCTTTGATATGCCCGCACTTGAACATGGATGATCCAAGGGAGGCATAACATGTTGTTGTATGTGTCAAGTACCTTACTCGAGATTTTTCGAGATTACAACAATAAGATGTAGCCAATCCAACATTTTCATCTGAAATTTCGTGAGAACAGTAGTCTCTTAAACCGCATAGATTAATTCCTCTGAACTCTCAATTGACTGTATCTTGCGTTCATGAACGTAATGCTACTGTTTGACGCGCGTTCTGTCGATGTGATTCGTGGTTACGTGCCGATACGTAACTATCTTGGCGGTTACAAATCCACATTCTAAAGCACATTTATACAGCCAAATGAACTCAGCTTTGGCGAAATATTGATGAGGCTCAGCGGTCTGTAGGTATAACATACATACTCAGGATCCTAAGCCATTCTCCTAGTTTATCTGTTAATACAACTGCAAGGCTGGGCACAAGCTCTGTATAACTGACACGCAGATTGTTGTTCACCTAGCCATATCGTGAGAACATCTTGATGTGACTACAAGTATTCTGGAGAATGCTAAAACCAAAGAGGTAACGCAATTGTTAACAGATGCATTCAAACGTTATCCATTCCCTTATGAGCTGTTCAAAATGCGTCCACTAGTATCATAGCTAATACACTGCCATGTATAGTTACCACCATGTGTGTTAAAATACGTTACATATCCGCAAATGTCAATTACTCTTCCATTAACTTAAATAGAGTAGTGCGTTTCTTGGTTATATTGTTTATACAACTCAAATTCGTCAGTCAAACGGTAGAAATACCAACACCATATCATTAGACAAGAGCACTAAATATGCTTCTGAAACCGGAGGAATCCTAATGGAAACTATTCATATTTCCCCACAACCTGTCTTCGAATACATCAGCTATTGAACAATTCTCAGCAATCAGCAGACGACGTAGCTGAGTATGCGATGATGAACTTACAAGATTTCTTCTCATTTGCATGAAAGGCGTAACCAACTCACCGAATGTGGCTTGGAAATTGTCCCCAAAGTTAGGTGTCATCCATATAACATCGGTTGACAGCTAAAGTGTGGATCCCGTTGACAGTAACATAATCACACATTTGGATTGGTCATTAGTCTAAATAAGTAAGTATAATTACATGTGGTGTGTCAGGGAACCATTGTTTATGCCGTGCGGTTTCCGTATCCAATAGCACTGACCTACAGATGAGTTTATATCATAAACTAACACTAATAACGATGTTACCCGGAATGTAAGTCAGCATACTTGATCTACTTTTTGACAAATGCATGCAAAACTAAATTGGATTTTCCAACAGAGTTATGCAGTGCAAATTGACACCATTCGATTTGGATTGAGAACTGGTTATCCTCATGATAATAAGGCTACAAAGTACAAACGAGCATACTCAGCTATGTGTCTTTTCCTCGCTGTTGCCGTTAACAAATTAAGTACAGGTTTGGTAAGAGCCGAGACTGCAGTGCCAGAGGAGAGATGGATATAGGGAACAGATTATTTCGTACGGCAGATGTTTCCTGTTTTCCACATATAAAAATGACATCGATAGATGTTGCTACTGAGTAACGGAAAGACACGGCAGAAATTACGGACACCCGTAGGAAACCGGTGAAGCACCTAGCAACAGATTTTGGTCGATTCAAACAAAAGAAAGTGGCATGCAAATTAGCATTCCGTTACCATTACCTATGTGCACCACGCAATAATGGTTTATATAAAATATAATTTACTCATTGAAATGAACATCACATATTTCTTTTTCATGTCTCCATTGCGTCTCAAGTAATGGATAATGTCTTCGCGATCGATTGTCTAAAAGTTATGAACTGAAGAGCTTCCAATTCCGATGGTTGCAATTGTTCGTCTTTTGAGATAAAGAAACCACAACTGCAAAGACACTACCAATTGCATTTGGATTATCTTCACTGCCCTCTATTTCTTGTAAAATCCTGGCTGGGATGCAACCTTTCTTTATTTCGTAATTTCTGTATGATTGTCGTTATTCACCAAAACTTTCCAGGAATTAATGATTGGCCTAACTGCAGAAGATAGTCACTAGTATTATGTTATTTAATTTCTGATACTTTATATTCTTCCTTCGTTGTTGGTCACGAGTGGGCTGATTTCTTGAGGTGACGGATTACAGCTTCCAGGCTAAAAAAAATTACACCCATGCAAGGCACATTGCCATTGACTCACTGGCGTATAACCAGAAAGTGCCATACTTGTATGATCCGCATGTAGGAACGGGCTGAGAATTCCTCACCCATAATGCATGCATTAGACAACCCTTATAAAAATACATTTGCTAAACACGTCATGGCTTTACATGCTATTTTGTCAAACCGGCACACAGCCATTTGGAGCATGGAAGTGCGGGAGAAACCCATTGAGGGAATACCCCGCATTGAATTAGGTCCCCTGGGGACGGTTCCATGATTGGCCACATTATTTTAATTGGCCTTTTGACTAAATCTTCAATTGTTATGGTCCACGATTTATTAATCACCCTGATACTTTCAGATTGCTAATCCCTCCAGCATCCATTTGAGATTCGTTATACAAAACAAGCAAAATTAACTGTTTTATGCGATCACGTTGTACAGATTTGGTCACTCAGTTGGATTGTGACTCGCATCGTCGAGGAATAAACCGTTTATTCATTTATTTATAGCCCAAGTGTCAATTTTTGAGACAACAACTCCGTCAAGTATTTAACTAATTAATGTTCCTTGACGAAACCGAATCAATGACCCAACTGCCCTGCGCGAGATATTGACTAAACACCTTTGCTGCTCGTTTATAAATCTCTATATGTTATTATCAGCTGAGCTTCCTTAGGACATTCTTGACGAATAGCGTGCTATAAACTTCGACTAGCGAACTATCAATCGCAGTGCAAATTCTCTCAGACCCTATTTCTATCCTAATGCTGAAGGCATTCATTCCGTCATGCTTAACCTCAGGGGTTGAAATATCATTTCCTCTAGCTCAATGTATTTGCACACTCCAGAAAAAGCCGGATCATCCCAAAACATGCGTAACCATGCGGTGATGTTTCATGGGTAAAAGCAAGGCTACTGCCTAACTGTGGAAAACCATCTACTCACCAGCCACCTACCGATTGGATCAAGAGCTATAGAAGAAATCGTCAAGGAATTCGAGTCAAATATTCTGTTTTAGGGCAACCTTATCGACACATCGAAACGCAGGTTCATAATATCAGGTTACTTTACAGCGTAATACATACCATCGTTCAATAGTTTATTAGAGTATGATGGAATTAAATGCATAACTTTACAAGACCACCCGATGGAAAAAGCACAATAAATTAATATCCAAAATGTTTAACGGTGGAATGGGAATCATTAGTACAAGTAACAAGCAGCAATTATTTATCGCGGATAAAAAAGCTTGCGCTTAACACATCCAGTAGGATGGCTGGGGCAAACATTAAAATTTACATGATCATCAAACAAGTGAATCGTTATTTTAAACGTCTACCTATTTAAATGCACTATTGCATACCGATATTTTAAAGTGGGAATGAGTGGTGTGCACACAAATTAGTAT